GCGGGCATTGTGTCGTGATCTTGTGGTGGCTGTGTTGGTAAGAGACGCAAAGCATTAGTATGAATGTCACCAAACGTACATGTTCCAGCATCAGTGGGACTTATATTTTGATAAAAGAGTAACGTACGGCCGGATCTTCGAAGAATATGCGCTTCACGGTTCAGACGGAGTTGTTTGACTTTGAGGTGGAGGCGGGGTCTCTACAAAACCGAGAAATGATTGGGCGTAGGATATGAGTAGGAAAATGAACGCCACACACGTCTTATTTCATCACGGGATACCTGAGCTATGCAATGGCCATTTGGGCGAAAATGGCGCTGAGTCGTCTTTTTTTGGAGGAATCCATCATGGTATAGTTCAGGTATCGCGTGTTGGAATATGACGTGTGGCACGTCTCCGACAGCGTTTTTACGCGTGGATTGCATTTCCGTCTGAGTTTTTCTAAAATTTCGCATCCGAAAGGCTAAAATCGGAAATTGAACTTTGTGCATTATTTCCCAATGAGAGTTCTATTGTTCTATATTAAACTTTGACAGCCTGGCGGGACCCCTTCCCGTGGTCCGATGAGGTCGCCAGTAGGCTCAAAAATCTTATATTTTGTCGTAGCACAAAATTGCACTACAGGCCCTCGCAATTTTAAAACTTCGTGCAAAACGCCGTCCTCTACGCCACAACACGTATCGAGGCACAGTTTTTACGACACCCCCCGAAACAGCGTTACATCGTGACGTGACTGGCAACCGGGGCAAAAGGGTCGCCCATTCTACCTTTAAAACCATAATGGTATGGGATACAGTCTACATGAAACTGGAAGGCGGCTGGTTTATCGCGTCGGTAGTTGTTGACTACCTGGGCAGCCAAGGGTCGAGCAGGCAACACATGAGTCCAAAGGTGGTGGTCCCTTCGACAAAGGGAGAGGGGCCCAGAGGAAAGCCAAATGTATCTCTTTCAATGCTTTCAATACATTGTCATTAGGTGTTAGCGAATGAGATTCAAGAGCTCATCGGGAGCGCCAAAAGGCCAATTTTAAGCCCCCCCTTCTGCTTTGAAAAAGCTATCCAGCGGGCTTATGCAAACGACCTCGTGTGTGTCTGTCTGTCTGTTCCACTAGAAGGAGATGTGCTAGAGACTTGAAATTTTCAGGGTATCTTAAGGTCCACTCTTAGAGAACGAAACACCTACGGCAAATCCTGGCAACCACCCCTAAGGAAGGGTGTGAATGGGGGTATCCAAGGTTCAAAAATTCTCCCAAAAAGTATTTTTTTTATGTTCTCCTAAGGGGTTACTCGTTAAAGTAGAGTTCCTTGGGAGAAAGTTCGTCCGTTTTGCTCTATATCTAACCGTTTAGGCGCTGCAGGGTCTTTTTTTGACGGAAATAAGCTAAAAATTGCCGTAGTGAACAATAAGTTGTAGAAAAAGGCCTATAAACCGCAAAATAGAAAGGTAACTCTCCCCCTACCCCCCGAAAAACGCTTTCTAGGCAGAAGGGTGGGTTGTAGTCGCAGTGCTTCACCGTTACATCCCTTTCTCGTGTCTGCGGGGCAAACTCAAAGACGACGGGTTTAAGCGGGCCGAAGGCCCGCTACATCAGTCGATCATGTTCTTCAGCAAATCGCGTGACAGAAATGGTCGGGCCGTCAGGCCGACAATTATAAGATGAATTTAAATTGTGTGAGTTTACAGACTAGTTTCACTAAAACACTGATTATTTAACACTTTGATACGACCCCAGTCATATGCCGGGTCGCAATTCGAACAAGCAGGCCCGCCCTTCCGCCAAACGAAGTTGCCAGATCCGCTTCGCTCCGCCGGCAACACCGTTCGGCAGGGGCCGGGCCGTCAGGCCGCAGGCCCGACCATCGCCGCCGGCAGGCCAAGCAGGCCCGGCCCCCGGCCGAACGGTGTTGCCGGCGAAGCGAAGCGGAGCTGGCAACTTCGTTTGGCGGCAGGGCGGGCCTGCTTGTTCGAATTGCGACCCGGCATATGACTGAGGTCGTATCAAATGTGTCATGTGTTAAATAATCAGTGTTTTAGTGAAACTAATCTGTAAACTCACACAATTTAAATTCATCTTATAATTGTCGCATCAGTATGCGGTGGTTTGCACGTAAATTCTTAACTTTTGAAACCAATAGACGGTTTCCGCTGTGTCTATTTCAAGAAGAATTAAGGAAATAGTCACCGGAAACAGTTCCGAAATTACGGTAAAAACTAGTTCAAATGAACCTTCATTGTTCGAATGGGCTTACGCGAGGACAGTTATGTTAAAATGAACTGTTAAATAGGAAAAATATGGGGACTTTTAATACTGGTTCCGGTCCTGATTTCCTTACTTCTTCTCGGAACGCGCAGAGCGGGAACCCTCTATTCCGAAAACACACCCCATCATGAAAACACCCATATTAAAAATTTGCTAGTCCGAAAATCAAAAGGCCCCTTCCTTTTGTAATATGAGACAAACGGGCGGGTCTTAGGGAACGTGCGGGGTCGATTGTTTGGGTCTGGTCAGGAGGAACAGGTCAGAACTGTTGCTGCAGTCGCTGAGGAGGAGTAGCCAGCAGATTTTTGGGGGGTCACCCGCCTTCCTGTTTTAATCCGACGGTAGGTCTAGTCACGGACATCCTAACCTCATTTTACCTTCTTAATGAAGATAGCTAGGATTTGACAAAATCGGTTGAGGGTCTAGAAGAAACCTCTTCAAATTTCAAGGATTTGTAGCTCGACGCCGTGGTTATCTTCTAGAGGAAAGGGAGGGACAGAATAACCTCTGAAGACGGATCGCGACCTCATTGTTTCTGTTCAGAAAATTAAATCTGTTTCAGATCGCATCATGTTTGGGGAAAACTGCCGATGAACTTGCCAAGGAAGCAACTGCTGACTTCAAGGACATGAAGATTGTTTTCCTCGAAAAGTAAGTTGATACTGTAAAGGTAAGCGACGTTTGTTACTTAAAAGAAACGAGACAATCTTTAATTGCCTCTGTTGAGCGATAAGTCTTAAACATCGCCCTGTGATGGTATTTATTTTAAGATCGCTCTAACCTGGTGTTAATAATTTATTATCGCTCAATTTGAGCTTAGTTTAAGTATGAAGACTGAAACCTAACTGCCTATTGCCTAATGCCGAGATTGCAGGAAAAAGTTCTCAAATTTCATTGAAATCAAAATGGCCCAACTACATTTCGACCTTGAGGCTAGACACAAAATTTTAAACCGATGTTCAATCAAACGCAGATTTTACAGTTTTCTTAACTTTCGGGGGGATTTGTTTTTCTATGGAGTTAAGACCAACACCATGGCGAAAGACACACCATGGTAGCATGTGCACTTGTTCCATGATACGTCCCATGGAAAACTCGTTCCGCCCCCATGGTGGCATTAATTCCCATGGAGGGCCAAGCCGTTTCCTCAAAGAAAAGAGGTTGCACATCGACCAAATCGTCCAACTTTGCGATCAGACACGAGAGCGCGCCACCTCCCGTTCCTTGCCCAGCTACTCCACGGCCCGCCTGTCTATTGCGTTTCAGTTCAGTAAACGAAACAGAAATGGCGCCTGGGAGAAGGAATTTCATTTATCAAACAGCTTTTAACTACTTACAAGTGCAATGTTAGTTACTGTTTCTAATGGAATACAATCAGCAATGAATCAACAATACTATACAATTTAATTTTGTGCTTGTGGTACTTTATAATGTGTTGCTGTCGCCAATGATAAGAAATGCAGGGAAACTGTTGGCATATTTGAGGTTCTAAACCTCCCTTGGAATACTACTGGAAGTTGTGTTATTTCACAAGTAGGTCACATGATGTCTGATGCAGCAGTAAAGGCCCCCTGCAATTCAAATATACTTTGGACATTTTATCCTATTGTTTAAAAAGTTCTTCTCAGTTCAGTAAGTTTGTATCGTCATCACCTTTTTATTCAAGGCAAATTAAGTTTCAGTTACGTAAACAGTTTTGACTGGTATAGAATATGAAGGCGCTATATCCCAGTCCTATACAGTACGGTCTGAAGGTGTGAGCAGGATACGTATCCAAATTGAGTTGGTATCGAAACGTTTTATACCAATACAGTGGCCCTAATCTGAAGTATGCATGCACACACACACACACACACACATATATATTAAGAATATGGTATGCGGAGCAGTTACTTTTCAGTCAAAGCATGTCGGAGAATCATATAGCTTAATGTGAAGTGGATGACGGAAAGTTTTAACTTAAAGTTTCCCAGAGATAGCTTCGCTTCGCTCAGCAATAAATATCTATTTCAGTGGACATTTGCAGACACTGTAAAAAAAATCCATTTTAATTTTAAGAACTCGTGTTTGGAAGCAATTTAAAAAACAAATTTGTTTTTAAATTTAAGAACAGTTGGTTTATGAAAATTACGTACATGTTTTGAAACGACAAAAATGCTTTACTTTTCTAGCCTGACGCAAATTCGGGGTGCGGATTCTGACGCCTTAGACCGCGCGGCTGTCGGGACATACATACCTGTGTAGCGAACGCTCGCACCGGAGGTTATGCGGCGCTCCGTCCAGGGGCATTCTCATAGTAGCTATGCGCTTGGTCGGACGGCGTATTTTGTTAACTTCGAGATTATAGAGGTCCAAGAAAGACCATAGATCGCCGAAAAAAACATCATAAGACATTCTTAGATATTTTTTAGTCACGTCTACGAACGTCTACTGGTGGCTATTTTCCGACTGGGAGTTACCCAAAGGGCTGATCCAGAGATTCTGTTACGCTACGCGTTCAATGACGATTTCATGACTAAATAGATCAAAATTTAGCTTATATACATAATTCGAGTTGTCAATGTGATTTCGATTGAAAATCGACTACCGATGTTGTGACTGATGTCGAAACTACGCCGAATCGACATCGTTTGGACAAAAGTAAGAATTCAAGCAGAAAATCCCACCACACCCATTCCGTAAGATAAAGGTGTCCGGTCGGAAACCCTGGGTAAAAAAACCATGCGGCTGTCCATGAGCCATGGGCATAAATTTAACCATAGATTTTTGTGACCATAGATTTATGGAACCAGTAAACCATGAAAACAACAGTTGACCATGAGTATATGGTGGATGGATTGCATGGCCATGGCTAATGTGCTCCATGGCAAGGGATGACCAGGAGAATTGGCTTTCATGGTCACAACTAAGTCCATATGAATGTGTCCATGGTTACTATTACCATTGTCATGTAGAACGTCCATGAACACACGTTTAGACACGATAGTGTTGTCAATGGACACAAAGACCATGACAGAACTAATCAATAGCCAACTGTATTAGTAATGGACATGGGATGTTTTCCTCATGGTCGTGTGTTCATGGTCTGCGTTTATCATGGCGAGGGTTTGTGTCCATGGGCGTGGAGTCATAGTCACAACCTTTGACCATTGGGGCACGTCCATGAATACAACCTGGTCCATGACAAGCCATGCAGCTAGGACCATGATCAAACGATAGCCATGTCAATGTCAACGGTACTTTCCATGACCACATCGTTTCATACATCTATGGCCAACAAATGACCATGGCAAGAAGGCACAATGGTTCATGGTCAGAACGTGTCCATGGGAGCAGCTGGCTGCTAGCTGGCCATGGAATTGTTTTACTATGGTCAGAGTGTCCACAGAAATTGATTTACATGGCCAGGATTGTGGCCATGTTCAAGTTATGTTCAATTTTCCACCGTCACAAATCTATGACAACGTTGACGTCGATTCGACGTAGTTTCGAAGGTCCATTTCTCACTGGGATACTAGTGAGAAATTTATTCGACGATGTCGTTTCGACATCGTTTTTCACGTCGTTACGACTTAAAAGTGATCATGAAATCGACGGCTTTTCGACAGTGAAACGTCGAAGCGACAACGAAACGACGTCAGCTGTCCAAAAGCCGTCGATTTCATGACCTTTTTAAGTCGTAACGACGTGGAAAACAATGTCGAAACGATCTCGTCGGATAAATTTCTCCCTGGGTTGCAGGTTACTATAGTCTGAGCAAAAAGCCTTGCCACAAAAGGAGACTCTGACTAATGTTTAGGTGCACTAAATTTGGTTAAGAATCGGTGATCACTCTTTGGATGGGCGCGGTCGACACCAAGCGTCGGCAGGAGTCGGTTGTCACGGCCGGGATCACTTCAAAATAAAAACAAATCTGATTATGCATCTTGCTAGAAGTTGGATTAATTTCTGGTCGACATGTTTGCATGACAAAACTAGCCTGCCTTTACCATTGCTTTTCGCTCACCGCTCTCAGACGCCCGCTTTCGCATGCCCGCTCGCTGCAGAGCTCTCAAATATATAGCGCATTTTCTCACAAACCTACGTGCAGTAATATGTTCATAAATTATACGTCACAAAAACAACAACAATATATAAACAAAAACCAGCCTCGGAGTAATTTTTTTAATCATAAAATATTGCTCGAAACTGTTGAATAGGAAATTTTCTTAACTACGGGTCCGTTTATGGTTAGCAAGAATTGATAACGTTTTTTGACGAAAAAGGGAAAACTTTGAAGAACTCCCTTGGTTGACGAAAAATCCTCAGATTTCGAGGGAGTCTCATTGATAGAGTTTGGACTTTTCCAAAAAAATAATAATAGGAGATTCCTCATTATTTGAGGCGAGATCGGAGTAGTTTTCCTAAAATATAGGAGTTCCCTTAATAGTTTCCCCCTTTCCGTCAAAATATGAGACATTGTTATAACCATGTTTATCCAGTAAAAAAATATTATTACATAGGTCATGCAGCTTGGAAATGGAAAACATTATTCATTCATAAAATTAAGAGTCTGTAAATATGTGATGCATGATGTTGTCAGCAAAGGGACGAATACTTCCTACGAAGTTGGGAACGAGGGACACCTACTTCAAAACCGGGACTTTATTAAATCCAAACAGACAGTTCTGTACATTCACGGTGCACTCCAGAGCCCATCAGATGTCAGCTCACAAACGGTCACCAATGGTATGTAAAGCATGGCTGGTAAAATGGTAAGTTAATATTCTGCTTCGTTTTTTTTGTGCTATAGTTCACGACAAATTACGTGGTGGGGTAAGCACTGTTATTTAAATATTGTGGCGTCACATTCCATACAATGTGAATTGTGTCACAATATTTACAATATCATGCCACATTCGTTGGAAAGTGGCATAGCCCTGCATCGGTCTGCCCTTGCGGGTCGAAGTGCGTCGTGGGCGCACCGCACCTATTACACGTCAGTACAAATGTGTCATAATATTTTAATTTAAATGTGACACGATTCATATTTTAAGAACATGATGTCACAGTATTTGAATAACAGTGAAAGCACGGTCTGAGAAAGAAATTGTGCTGAAAAAGTTTGCAGCAGTTTAGATCGTTGGTAAATCCTTGCAGCTTTGAAAAAAACTGGACGGTACAACATCGTTCTCATCGACTGGTCGCAGTACACAACAAACAGCAATGGCAAGGGGCAGTTCAAAACTAACTTCGGAAACATGTCAGCGGTAAGTAACATTTGTATCACGTAAAAATCGGCACTTCTTAAAAGTCATGCAGCTTTTTTGACCACTGGATATAAAATTTTGGCGTTTAATATAGTATTAGGTGAACAAATCGAATTTAGATAGACGAAATGTAGCTATGTCAGAGCCAAATGTCAAAAAAAGCAAGTTAACAAAATACGCCGTCCGATCAAGCACATAGCTACTATGCCCCTGGACGGAGCGCCGCATAACCTCCGGTGCAAGCGTTCCCTTCACAGGTATGTATGTCCCGACAGCCGCGCGGTCTAAGGCGTCAGAATCCGAACCCC